GAAACTAAGGCCATGAGACTAGGGTATGTCATTGACACCAAGAGCTGGCAGACACTTCCTTCATATCTTTTTCTCCTCTTAAAAATGTTTACATCATTAAATTTCAATAAATTATTTGAATCATAACGAGATCATTTATTTCATTTTCTGTATGGAGATCCAATTAATGATATACCAACTAAAATGCAGTTATTCACAAACAATAATATAATAAAGAGGCTTATGAGAGTCTCTATATAATACAAACAGCAGGTTGTTAGGATGAAAAAATTAAATCATCTTTCTCACATGCTATAAGAACAGAAGACTGTGAAAAATGAGGTATAAGATAATTTGATAGCTTTTTTCCTCAACAACTGGATAGCTGCCTCAGTGTTTTTAAATTTCAGCGCCTTTCTTATTTTTTGATGACTGCAAGTAGTACATTACAGTAGCCATGCATACACCATCAAAACTAATTTAATTCCAGATTCATTATAGAGCTGTTTTTTATTCATCAAGGTCATATCTTGATGGCTTCACAAGCTTAGATAAATCAGGTGTTAAGCAGACACATCTCTGAGGAACTTAAGAATGTTCTCATTTGCAGTTCTCAGCATATCTTATTATTTATTGCCATAGAAATGACTGATTAACTTTGTCATCTTTGTTCCATGTTTTCCACGCCCCCTCCCAGGCTGAGGCAGTCTGCCCTCTTCTGCAGCACCATATCAGACCTATTTAAGATGATGGCTTTGATCACAGACATGGAGGCACTTGCCATCTTAGGCTTTGAAGAAACATTGTTCCACTGAAATTATATGGAAGGGAAATCGACAGTCAACAAAGACAACAAAATTTATTAAGATTTTGCACTATTTGTTGACAGCATAATCGTTAAGCACCATAAGTGTACCAAAAGGTGACTAGTCTAGGTTTTATTTTGACATATAAACAATTTATAAAACCCTCCTTTTTCACTCATTTCCTTATTTTAGCTAATTTGCCCCCAATAGAAGACTACTACATCAGAAGGTAAGTTTATGAATTTTAAAATATTTTTCTTACATTCTTTCATTGCTGTGTTTGGTAAAATTCCTGCTAATCAATTAAATATGCATTTGCATGAGGTTTTCCACAAAAAACACCTAAATAACACATTTGCCACATGCAAAACTATAACATTAAACATCAAGGAAAAAATTACATGCCTCTAGGTTTTTATTAATCACATTCCAACACCAGAGGCTGAAAATATATCAAGTCACACCAAATCTTTTGTACATGACAACCTCATAAATTATTCAACTCATTAGTGTTACTAAAAAGCATGAAAAACTCCATCAGTGTAAAGGATATTTTCCAACTGAAAAAGGTCAACCAAAAGTTTTAATAGTGAAATTGAAAGGAAAGCTTTTCAAAGTAAATATGAAATAAAATTACTGTCCTTAATTTCCTCGAAATTATATCAAATTCTAATTGTTTACTCATTAAAAGAAAACATTAACACTTTTATTTGAGGCTCCAAAACATTATCTGAAAATAATGCTAAATGGTCCTTCCCATATTATGATAGTTTAATTTAACTTAAACTGTTTGGCTGAACTTAGGTTTCAAGTTAAATCAAGTGACTCAAACTTTTTTTTTTTTGTAGTACTGGTATTTGAACTCAAGGCTTTGCACTCACTATACAGGTGCTCTACCACTTGAACTGTACCTCTCACACTTTTTTGCTTTATTTATTTTTCAGGTGGGGTCTCATGTTTTTGCCCTGGGCTAGTCTCAGACCTTAATTCTCCTACGTATGACCTCCTATATCTGGGACCACAGAGCACAACACCACACCCAGCTTTCTGGTTGAGATGGGGACTCTAAGTCTTTGCTCAGGCTGGCCTCAAGCTGCAATCCTCCCAATCTCTGGTTCCTGAGTAGCTGGGACTATGGGTGTGAGCCACCACAACCAGGTTAAAAAGTTTCTATTGAAATAAGTCTGCTAAATGTGTTGTACTTCTGTCGCATTAATGTAGATACATACTCTTGAAACACATGATCGACATTCATAGACTCAACCAGTGGTCTGGATCCCAGAGATTCTTTTGATTGCCATGTTGATTATTTCCTATTTAAGTGTTCATGGCTGCTCTCCCAGGGTATTCAGTTTTTGAAAATTCTTCATACTTTGATCACTGATTATAGTAATTGTAGCCATACTGAAAGTCACATCCACAAAGCATTATTTGTGTCTGCAACACTTTGGTTCTCTTTTTAATTCACATACACACACAAAATTTTTTGGCCCAAGTTTACAGCAGTAATTCTGTAATTTTCAAGACAGAATTTAATAAGGAAGTTGAAATGATGCAATTATTTGATATAGAGGAAGGAATAAGTTGAATTTCAATTTTTTCAGAAGCTCATTCAGAATTTGCAGGTTTGTGCTATAAATATACCTTTAATCTATGACTACCCAATTTCAAACACTCGATCATTTGAATATTGGTCTGTCAGGCTTTAGCATATAGAAACACATCTAAATGTTTACTGGCAGAGTATTCAGATTCTGAGCTTTTGTTGTTGTTGTTGTTGTTGTTGTTCTACAAGTTAAATAGGATGTTCTGAAAATAAAACCTGTGCTTAAAATATACAAAATCTGCTTTCAATTAAGTTTTTCAACATCTATTTTTACTGGATGAAGTGCTTTATAACAATTACTGACATTTGCTTCCTATTTCTTCAAAAGAAACATTTTATATGTAGGTTTCAGGGCACATTAAGAAGTTGAAAGAAGTTGCCATGCTACATTTTTCTCTGGGCAGTTCATAGTTCCTCCATCTAACTCAGTAGAACTCACTCCAGTGAGCACTTCCCACTCATCCCCTCCACATCCTCTGTATCTTACTGCCCACCTTTTTTCCTTAGTTCTCAAAGTCCACAGATGTGAAGCGTGATGAAAAGGAGAAGATGATGGTAGAACTATTTAGGGAGGAAGAACAGTTATTGGTCTTCCACTCCATAATATTAGCCCTGGAAAATGACCATGGAGTAACTCTACCATAGGTGCAATGTAAACTGAGCATTTTAAGAAAAAGAACTTTTTCTTATTATGTATAAGATAAAAACATATTTCTCTTTACTTTTTTCACAAACTCAACTCAAGAGGGGTAATAGGTTCTGAATATTGCTGATTACATAGCATATAAAAATGGAAAAACACTACATATTAAAAATACGCATATAGTACACATAAAGAATATTTACTATTACCTACACCTTTCATCTACTTCAAAATCAGAGTACTAGTTCCTAGTTCAGGTTAATTAACAATAGTTACAATCAGTCTCAAAGTGATTTTACGGTATAAAATTTTAAAATTTGTTTTTGAAAGTCTTTAATACTGTTTACTAATAGAAATATTATACAAATCAAATATTTATAGTATCCACTTTTAAGGCAAAACAAATACTTTCTTACCAAAGCCTTTTTAAAAGTAATCTGTAGAATGTACAATGTAGTATAAGATAGACACTTAATCGGTTTGACAACCGAGCATCACTAATATCATGTGGTCTAATATCGCATAAATTGTCTGTAGATGGTTCTAAATTTTAAATGAGAGAAATTCATGATGAATTGCTTAAAAATTCTAGAGTATTGGTAGACAAGGCTTTATTAATTTTAAGTTCATATCATACTTTCCCATATGATCATGGAGATAACTCATTTTAAGTTGACATTAAATCCTTAGTGTGCTAAAGTCCTTAGATGATCTTGCTGTTAGAGGTGGTTAAAGAAACTTCCTACAGTAAGGACAACTATGTTTTCAAGCATATTTTTTGCATTTTTACTTCTACTGTAATCATTATCTTAGGTATCATAGCTTCATATGAAATCTTCATGTATAGCATTTACTTAATATTTTTTGTTCCTCATTAAGTTATATTAACAGCTTATTGAGATGATGATTTTGTAATCTTTGCTCATTTTGACTTATTGTGATCAAACATTTTCCCTGTTCAACTGATTAAGAATAAGAATGGTACTGTACTATATACACTATGGTAAGATATAAATCTATTTAATACTTATGGTAAATTTTAACTAGCTGGCTCACTTGTTACTCTAAAATAAATAAAAATTAGCATAATAAAATAAACATTAATTTACAAATAAAAGTGAATAATAAAGGTATTGCCTTAGCATGTGTTTTATAAAATTCTGACATGACCAATTTTAAACATATTAGAGCACTTAAAAGAGTAAATACTCAAAATGTTTCTAAGCATATTTCTTATTAGACAACAGTCTAAAGCAGCAATGTTTCTATTAAACTATAAAATATTTTGATATTTACTATTTATTAAACATTTTATAAAAGACAATGTAGGTATAGTTCCAATGCAGTGTTACAGCTGATGACATTGTAAACTGGGTGACTATCTAATTCAGACTGGAGAATGGGGAATTAAATTGGAAGATTGTAACAGGATTTTTATTTTATTTAACTAAAGTATAAAGGAATAGAATATGAAAATATGTAAAGAGGTTATTAGTAAAACATCTGTTTCAGTTATATATATGTATACCTATGTATACATACATATATGTGTAGTATGTATAGGTATATATTCAGACAATAAACATGTACATAAACACAAATGTATACATAAAAATACATAGGCCTGAGTACAGAATTTCAAAGTATTAATTTTTCTACTATGTGTCTTTGTCACCAAAGTTTGAAAGATATCTGTAAAGAGATTGGTTTTATTCTAGCTTTAGGCTATACGAAAGAGATACTGGATAATAACCAACTATGTAGAGGCTTTTATCTTTTAAAAAGAAGTTGAAGTCTTTTACCTAGTATAAGAAATATAGTTCACTAAATAGTGCTGGTGGATGAAGTAGAACAAAATATTTCTGACTTCCAACACTGAGAACCTTGCATATCAGTGAAAAAATTAACTTTTCAACCACAAAGGGTCACCTCACATGCAGAAGTGTCTGTTTAAGAGGCATCAGTACTAACCATATTCTATCGCAGATTTGAGCAATGCTTCACTGTGAGTGGAACCAAAGGCATTACGAACAAACCTCCTCCTTCGACGAAGATCATCTTCCCAGTAATCCAAACGCCAGAAATCATGCAACTGGCTAAATATGGGAGAACAAAGAAATGGCATTAGTGGTTGTTAATAAAAACTCACAACTAGAAATTCATTGTTTCATAAATTAAAGTCTATTTCTTTGGTATCATTGAAAAATTAAGATGATCTTTTGGGATATCTTTCTAGTGCAAATAAACACAACTTAAAATAGCAACATTTTCATATTTTCTCATATTATAAACACTCAGATCTGCATTTTTTTTACAATGTTCTTTCCTTTACAAAAACATTAGTCATGGGGAGTTTAGCAACACATGTAACATCAAATTACAAGTATTAATGGCACAGTTTGCTTTCTTTTACACTGTTTTTTAACAAGGCTTGTAAATCACAGGACAGACCTCACTACAAATAGTTTGCAATTTAATGACCACGGTTTCTTAGTAGACTGAATTAGGAAGTATAAAACATCGCCCACTCGGATTTCATGGAGCAATGATTAAAATAATGTGCTGAAATATTCATTGAAATAATTCCCTCCTTCCCAAAGCAACCTGAGAAAAGTGCAATTTTATCCATTATTAATAATACTGAATTAGATCTGCAAAAAATTCCAGCCCTGTGGTAATTGTCTTGGTAAATTATTATTCTAATGCTAACAGAGTCCTTGGATGATTTTACAGCTTTCAGCTAATATAAACCATTAACAACCATGGTCATCACTGGCAACGTTGTCTTTTACACTTCAAACCAATGTTAAAAATCCATGAGACATTTCAAGAACTGCTGAAATATGTTCATTGTATATCCAATGGAACATTTCATGATATAATTTTTGTTTTTAATTTAATTTAAGTAAACATTGGTAATAAATACCACTGCTTAAGAAGTCAGTTTTTCTCTTTATGGTATTTGGAATAACATACTCAAAAAGACAATATTCTAATTTTCCTGAGCAACGCTATTCAAAAACATATAAAGTGCTTTCACAGAAATCTGATTTCATTTTTTCTTTTAATATTTTGTTATAAGGGAACACTTCAAGTTTAATTAAAGCAGGATCTGTGTATATTTTGATGATCATTGTATCTCTAGCACATCTTGCACACAGCATTTCAAAATAGTCAATGAGTGAATTTTTTAATTTCAAAAAAGTATACAGAAGTGTATAGTCATCAAGAAAAATTATTTAATTTTGAAAAACAACTTAGATTTTATGGCTATAAAATTTTGTTAACTATAACTTAATTGTAACAGAACACAATATAAAAGAAACATGAAAAGTATTAAAATTTTAAACATTTGAAGTATACTTTAATGTTCTTACTTTTTCTGTACATCATAATTACAACTATTTTTGTTAAAATGATTACCTGATGAACAATTATAATAAATGGTATATCTCTGTGACTAATTAAAATAGGATGATATCTATCCTCATGAAAATGTAGACTAATCCCAGTGGTTTAAGAAAACCATGTTTAAATCTGTTATTAATGATTTTCCTCAGTATTATGTTAAAATTAAGTAATTGCATTCACTAGAAGACCAATGATCTAATATTATCGTAAATTTCTCACTTCAGTTTTTCCTATTCTTACCATAAATGCAACTGAAAAATTCTGATTATATATATATATTTAATCAGAATATATATATTATATATATAATCAGAATATATATATTATATTATATATATAATCAGAATAGATTATATATATAATATATATACATATATATATAATCCCAACAAAAGCTTTCTCTCTGTAACTAGAGGACCAAGAAATGAGCAGCCTAGCAAAACAGAAAATGTTTAGATAACAGCTGTTACATTCTAGGCAATCCTCATGGGAAAAATGCTCACACCCCACCCATCCAAAGGGTAAGTAGGGAACCTAGACATGGGACCCTTTGCTAGCAGTGAACCTGTTGATATTGAAATTAAAAATTCAATTTGAATCACTAATAAAAAGACAAAATATTTATGTATAAATCTAACAAAACTTTTATAGAACTCGTGTGATGGAAATAATACAATGCTGATGAATGAAGTCACATAATATCTAAATAAAATAGAAAGGCATATCACTTCCATGGTTTGGAAAACTCAACATAGTAGAAACACCAATTTTCCCCAAATTGAAATACATGTCTAATATAATTTCTTAGATTATAAATAAGATCATTCTAAAGATTCACATAATAGGAGGTTTAATCAGAAGGAATCAGCCTACTTGATTACAAAAGTCATACAGTTGGCTATTAATCCAGTTCAAAGAAGTCAGGACAGTGTAAATAATTCATCTCGGTGGAAAACTTCTTTCCTTCAATATCACAGACTAACCACACACCAGCTTAAATTGTGATTTGAAAAAACTATACTGTGTCATATCTACTTTTTAAAAAATCACTATTGTGAACTTCAAAATCTACCAATATTCTGATCACTTCAAGTGTTCTTTCAGTGTTTTGTTGAAGTACAAATTATTTTTTCTTTATCTTTTTACACTAAAAAGTCCTTATGCAGCTAATGCAAGTAAGTAATATACTTTTTTGTTTATAACACAAAATGTAAGTAATAACATAACACAAATGTAAGCAAGTGTAAGTAATCAAATAAAAACAATGTGTAGCTTAAAGAAAACCCACCCTCTTTTCCTGCTCTTCCTCATCCTTCCTTTTTTGCTTTGGAAAATTTGAATATGTAGTCTCTGGTCCTCTGATATTTTCCTATACAGAAATTACCTTAGATTGCCAAGAGTCAATATCTGATTAGGGGATTTTTAGTTTTTGAACATACATAAAAAGAATCTTCCATTCCTTTTCAACCATTCTTGTACTCTCTAGTTTAAATATGATGTAACTAACAGTATAGATGAAATAACAATAGATATTCAGAACTGACTTTCTCTGTATCACTTTCTAAACTTACTGTTACTAACCAACTCCACAGCTATACCTTACCTAGACTGTGATGGAACAAGAGAATCTCATCTAGTAGCAAGAAAAATCTTTTTTTTTTCACAGATGCTTCATTTTGATGAATCTGAAAACCCTACCAAGTGAGGTCCCTATAAATGTGGAGGCTAGAGTGATCCAAGGGAACTCTTCCACAAGAGGATCTGTGTGGTCCTAGCCATGTTCTTTGAGGGTGGAGGAGAGGGCAGAGGCAGGACCAGAAGACATTCCTAAGAGGTTGATTATTTGAGCCAATTACATATTTCATAGGAAAAACAAAGAAGTATTTTGCATCTGCTGTGTACTCCAGGATAAAAGTGGTAGAAGGCTGCCTTTTTCTCTGGTGACTGCTTACATATACCTGTTGATATCATGAGACTGAATGAAACATTCTAACACTTTTGTAGACTACACTTCAGCTCTTTCTGGGTTGTGGTCCTTTTGACATCTATTTCAGAGCTTTGTATTGTTCCTTTTAATTATATATTTCTCTTTTCATTATTTTTATATTATGATGTTTTATATTATAACAATGTTATTATTGATGTAGTGATGTTCATTTTTTTGGTGTTGTTTTTAGCATAAATAGTGTTCAGGTACTAGTAATTTCCTCATTGAAAATTTTGATAACTACACTTTCAACTTATGAGGATACATTTGATTTTCTTTCAAGGTTCCCACTGCCTCCTAGGAATGGACTGTCCTCAGAAACTAGGGGAAAAATGAATTTATCTAATAAAGTAAAACTGAAAATGGTTAAGTGGCTATTTGATATTTAGTAGCAAAAACTGGCCAGAGGAACAGAGAAAAAATGAAAGGAATAAAGAAACATTTTTACTGTATACACACACAAAACACATAAGAATTTGACTTTCCACTTGACTAAAAAATTGGTGGTAATTATTGAGGTCAGCCCTTCTGTGCATCAAATTTCATCCTACAAGGTCAAACAAAAATACAAATTCTGACTAGCAGACTGATGGATAAAAATTGTTATCCTCTCCTCATTTTGAAGCTTCCTTCAGCCAGTAACTTGAGAAGAAGCAAGACATTTCCAACCAAATGCTTTAAGAGCCAGTGTACAGTTTCCATTGTTCCCTCTCCCCTCTGTAGTAGTCAGGAACATAGGTACTGATATAAAGTCTCCATCACCTTACTTCAATGTGCTGCACTTTCCTGCAAAAGTGCAAACATGGACTGTGAGTAAGAAACAAACTTTTCTTGAGATGGACCACTGAGATTTGTGGTCTGTTTGTAACTGCAGTATAATCCAATCCAAGAATTGAGCAAACTGCTAGGATGATAATAATAATTACTGGAGGGCCAATATTTACCGAGCGCTTGTTGTTTTCCAAGTGCTTTTCCAATCACTGTACACATACTAACTCATTTCCTATTCATTAATTCTCTTTTGAGAAAAGTACTATTATCAACCCATTTTATAGATGAAGAAATGGAGGTACAGAGAGGTTAATGTGTCCAAGGTCAACCAAATAGTCAGTAGCAGAAGAAAGATGGGTCCTCAGGCAGTCTTGACTTCCTAGTTCATACTACTCTGTTTCTAACTATAAAAAAGGGAATAAAAAAAAGGAACTCTTTTGAGGACATTACATTGCAATCACTGGCATAGCTGCTTCTTGCCTTTCTACAATCAGAACAATGATGACTATGAAATAGGTAGCAGGCTGTATGTGTAACGTGTACGTTCACTTATTATTATGCAATTATTTATTGGACACTGAGCCAAGTCACAAGCTAATACTAGTTATGAATGGATAAGTCAATAAGCATGATTCCTGACATGGTGTACCTTTCACTCTATTCCACAATACAAATAAATTAATTTGTAGTGAAAAATTTTGAGAGTGCTAAGAGGAAAGAGATGAGATACAATAATGAAAATAGTGGAACTTACTTTGTAAGTGAACTATAGAAGTATATGCATGAGACTTATTCTAGTGAAATATGACTACAAAATAGGTTGAAACAAAATCTGAGGCTGAGCATAGTGGCACCTATATTTCAGCTACTCAGGAGGTAGAGACCTGGAGGATCTTAGTTTGAGGCCAGCCTCAGCTAAAAACGTTAGTAAGACCCTATCAAAAAAACACAAACCAAAACCAAAACAAACAAACAAAAAAAAACAAGCTAGAAGAGCAGTTGCTGGAGAGAACACTAGGCTGACCCTATGCAAGAGATCTGGTTGGAGTTAACAGGAGGGCATAAAAAGTGAAGCAGTCTGGGAACAATTCAGTATACTTTTGACTTTATTAACATTAGCAAAAGGAAAATGTTCCAATATTCTGAACCTGTGAATGTTGTTCACAGGTTCAAAAGGCAGCACTGGAGAATGCAGGAGAGAAATGGTTTTGTTAAAGTTTTACCCAATGAATTCTATTACCCACATGGTCAGCAAATACTGAATTTTGTTTTCACTGTTTGCATCTTTTTAAAAATTTATTGAAATTATTAGGATATATTCATGATATAGGGGGTCCATAGTGAAAATTCCGACTAGACTTATATTGTACATTAGTTACATTGCCCCCATTGTCTCTTTGCATCTTTGACCAGCTCTTCTGACTCAGCTTTGTTTTTTGATTTTTTTTTGTCAGTAGCATATAAAGCTTGTAGAGCTAAGACACATTCCTTTTCCCCCTACGTAACTAAAGACTCAGTTTAAAGCAATCTTAGAGCAAAAACAATTACTTTAATCTTAATTAACCAAACTATAAAATTACTTGTGAAACACCTAATTCTATAGAGCAATTATCCCACTTGAAGAAAACAGGCATTCTTTCATCCTAATAATTACTGCTATAGTGAATAGGATTCGATATTTTTAGAAACTGTAACTAAAATTTTTCCTCATAAGACTTCAAAAATTGATTACTGTAAGAAATCCCACAAAAAAAGGACTTTGGAAAATATTCTCAACGAGCTTTAAAACTATGTCTACCACATTCAAATCAATGTTCTTAAACAACATAAATATTTTATATAAAAGATGTCTTATTAATTATATAACAGTTAATAAAACCTATATTACTTACAGTTTTTATTTTAAGTTTATGATTTGCATCACAGCAATTCTCTAAGCCTCAGTTCCTTCATCCATAAAATGGGAAGAAATAAAATGTGTTTCATAAAATTGATGTATGGAACATAGTAAAGTACTTGGCACATATGTGTAGCAACAGCTATGTGTTCAAATCCTAGCCCTGGCACTTTCTAGGTAAATGACAACTTCCCTGAATACTAGTTTTCTCATCTATATGGAAGAAGTGGTTCTTACATATGCTGTTTGTCTCATGCTTTTATATAATAAGTAGCAATTATATATACACTATTTTTGGGATACTGGGGTTTTGAACTCAGGCCCACTCCATTAGCCTTTTTTCGTAATGAGTTTTTTTTGGTTTTTTTTTGGGGGGGGGCTAGGATCTTGCAAACTATTTGCCTGGGAAGGCTTTGAACTGCACTCCTCCTGATCTCTGCCTCTTGAATAGCTAGGATCACAGGTATGAGCCACTGGCACCTGGCTATTATTATATAAACTCTTATACAAACTGATTTCTATCAAACTAAAACAGTAAGTTTTCAAGAAATTCAGATATGCTTTTTTAAAGGCCCAATATTTTTTAGTGCAACAGTTCCCAAGGTGATGGAGATCAAGAAGAGCCCTCTCTTCCCAGAATCATCTCTATTTGGAATCTCCATCCCCTCAGAGTGTTTCCTCCAGTCTTGTGTTGTTCATTTCCAGTCTATTCTACTTCTCTCATTAAAATACTCATGTATCTTCAATTGTCAACTAATTGTGTATTCTTTTTTTGCAATGTTTCAAAAATTTACTTCAAAAATTTACTTAATATAATTAATCATTATATTGTTGTTTGCTGGATCTCATCCATTCATTTACTACTTTGTGCATTTATGTCTTAACACTCTTATTAAATTGTAAGTAAAACAGATCTGTACTTACGACAGTGTCAGCAAATAATAGGTAAACAATATTTGTTAATTTGATTGTTGTCTCTCCATGTTTATGGCAGTACCATTAGATTTAACTTTAAAATCAAAATTATGATAGAGACACACCTTCAACAGCCTCAAAGCTGCTAAATATTAAACGTGCTTATGCATTTTATTAAAACCATGTCCTATTCTGCATCTCCACTAATGCAAACAACTGGTAATAGAAATAAAACCATCACTCTTTTAGTAGCTTACCATCCTTTTGTAGGAGGGATGATTTGCCAGCAACACATTTAATCCAAAGAGGAAAATAAAACATGGTGAATTAAGAACACGGCGACAAGTCAGTCTGCCTATGTGAAGTTTGTTTTAGGCTATTCAATTCATCCTCAGTAATCAAATGCAGCTGGCTATCTGTATTTGGTTCTTTTCTGATAATTTATGAAGCATGCCAAAAAAAGTGTTTACATCTCCTTGAAAGTTATATGACACATCTGCTTTTAAATTAATTGAGAGGTGTACTTGTTGGTTTTACAGTTAACTAATTATAAAGCTTTCAACTTAGTTGAAACTTAACTTTATGTTCATTCAGAAAAAAATCAAACTCTATATCCTCTTCACTTTGGTTCTTTTTCTATAAATAACATTTTTAAAAGCAATTTACTATCTCTGACTTATATTTGCCATATCAATAGTACAATAGTGGATAAGAAAGGAAAGCATCTGGCTAGTTCAATATATATACCACAATCTTCATGTACATTTAACCTCCTAGATCTCATTAGCATAGATAAATATTTTTAAAAACTGTATTCACAACAGGGGAATGATTGTGTAATTATTTAGAAACTGGTATTTAGAAATAATATTTAACTTTGAACTGATTTTTACTCTTCAGGAGTGAATGTGTTTTTCTGAAGGCTAGCATAACACTTGTAATTATATAACTTAAGTGTATTTAAATATTCATTTCAAGATTTAAATCTGTTATTATAACTATATTTAAATAAAATTTTATATTAATGTAGCATTTGAAATTTTTCTTGCTTATTTTTTGAATTAGTTTTAAGCTATCTTTCCAACTTAGATGTTCCTTGCATAATTTTTTTACTTTTGCTTCTTTTGATTGCATATTCAAAACTTCAGCAGTTCATGCAAATTAGTTACTACATGTTAAAAATCTAAGATGTTTTACATTACATTACATAACCCTGCTTTACATTACATATGTAACATTCAGATGGAAAGCTGTCTCTTAGTAATCAATTTCATATTTCCTCTTTTAGATCATTTAAATGCTTAAAATGATGATACAAGACATGCCTAGAAAACTCAGCACATAATTCACAATTCACCAATCCACAGTCCACAGAAGTCTTTTTTGAATCTAAATATAAATAATGAGCATAAAATGATGTACAATTAGTTAATTATCAGTTACCTCTGCCTTCCCTAAAAGCATATCCTTTCTTAAGCCACAGTTAGATCTTATTGATTAATGAACTGTTTAAAGATAGCAACAACCTTCTGTAAAATAGCTAGAACTTTTTCTCATATGTATGTCTTAAGGATAGGTAGGAAATATTAACAAATGTTTAGAATATTATAGCCTCATAGAAAGACAAATTAAGTGTGATGTTTAAAAGGTTCTGGTGAAGAATTTTCCAAATAAATGGAAAAAACTTTTAATTTTTTGCATTCAATATTTTCTATACTCTTTTGGTCATGTAATAACCTACTTGAGAGGCACAGCTCTCGGATCACACTTTGGAATATGTTCTCAGGGAGGGGTGACTCTTCATTAAACAACATGAGTCAGGGGCTGGCGAGTATGTTGGCCCATTCATGCACCTTCTGCTTCCTCGTAAGGGCAGAGCCTTTTCGGTCTTGAGTATTCTGTTTCTGGTGCTTAAAAATGTTGCTTAAGAATATCTGCTTTGAATGACTACATGCTCTAACAATTGTGCTAGGAGTTAATGCAGCAAAGACTAAGAAACTTAAAAAGCTTACATTATTGTAGAGAGCAGGACAAACATACAAATGATGCAATGTGATGTCATAATGCTTCAAAAGGTATTTTGAGGACATAGGTAAAGGAATTATGAATTGTGCAGGGACAATCACGGAGAGAGATGCTAGAACAAGCCTTTAAATGATAAAGAGGAAGGCAATGAAGAAGATAAGGAAAGCAGAGCTAATTACTCTATAGTAAGTCACACTGAAAAAGAAAAAGCCCTAAAAGCATCCAGTTCTAATAACCATTTCTTAGTGATTCTCTCTCTTTCTCCTAACACTGGGTTTTCCATAAGTGTGACTTTTGGTTGGTTGACATTTATGATTACCTCAGTCATCCCATAGTTTGAATCTCACTTAAACATTTGTAGACAACACTCAGGGTGACAAATTCCACACTATAAATGGTATAAACAGAAAAGGAAAGTTTGTTGGGGACTGGGGCAGTAAAAGTTGGAGGGATGAACCAGATTATATAACGCACAGGGCATATGGGCCTGCAGGAAGAGTTCTGATTACATTTGATATTCTGACTTCCAAGGCTCTTTCCTTTTATTCCTTTTATTTGCACTCTCAAGGTTGTGGTACAGTATTCTTAAAAATGTATCCTTTCCTGGCTCTAAAACAACACACGCACACACAATTTAAGGACTATTCGATATTAGGCACTCTTTCCTGAGGATACAGCACTGATCAC